GAAAAGAAAAAGAAATGTTTAACAATATATAAAACCTGCAAGAAATAAAATCTGGAATACACACAACCTACGAAAACCAAATTAAGAAGACAACTGAAAATTTAAACAGACCAATAATAAAAGATAAAATTGAAGCAATAAAAAAAAAAAATCACCCACCTAAAAAGACTCAGGAATAGATTTAACCAAGGAAGTGAGAGATTTCTACAACAAAAAATTATAAAGAACCAATAAAAGAAATGATAGAGAACACAAGAAAATGGATACTCCCATATTTGTGGCTCAGAAGAATTAATATTAGTACTATACTACCCTAAAGTGATCTGTAGAATCAATGGAATGGAATCAATCAAACTCCAATGACTTTCTTCACAGAAGTACAAAAAATAGTTTTAAAGTTTATATGCAGTGACTGAAAATCTAGAATAGTTAAAGCAATCCTGAGAGAAAAAAAGCAGAAGGCCTCAGGATATTTGATATCAAAATATATTACAAAGTTCTAGAAACCAAAACATCATGGAACTGTCAATTAAAATGGACACACAGACCAATAGAACAGAGTAGGGAAGCTGGAAATTAATCTATATTCATACAGTCAACTTTATTATTTTCTTTTTTCAGCACCAGGGATTGAATTTGGGACCTTATGCTTGCCAGGCAAGCACTTATGCCACCGAATTATATCCCTGGCCCCCAGTCAACTTATTTTCAACAAAGATGCTAAGGACATACACTGCCAAAAAAGCACTGTCTTTATTGAATAGTGCTGGCAAATTGTGTGTGTGTGTGTGTGTGTGTGTGTGTGTGTGTGTGTAGAGACAGAAGGAGGTGAAGGTGGGCAGGGGAATGAAACTAGGTCCCTTTCTCTCACTGTACACCAAAGTCAACTCAATAAGAGGTACGGCAGATCTACTGACAGTCTGTCCACAGTCTGAAAACTTAGGTGGATGCTGGGCAGCTACAGGCTCCTGGTGAGTTCTGCCCACATGAGCCTCCAGCATGGAGGTGTGGTGGATCTACTAGCACCCTGTCTTACAGTCTGAGAACTTAGGTAGACACTGGGCAGCTCAAGGGTCCTGGTGAGTTTGGCCCATGCCTACCACCTATGCAGAAGCTTTGCAGAGCTTTAACCAGCCTCCCCCACCAGTTGTGAGAGCCTTGGTGAGTCCTACCTTTACACACACTGTATCAGGCACCTTATTGACCCACACTCCTCTCCTTTCCCATCACTGCTGAGTCCAAGTGATCACTGGGAGCTACAAAAATGCCCAGAAAGGGGACATAAAAGGAAACTCAGTCCTCCAGCCCAGAACAAGTCCAGGAGACAAGGACATAGAACAACTTGGGTGTCACACACCTGAAATTTATCAAATGATAGCAATGGAAGTAAAGAAGTCTATCAGGTTAGAGAAGAAATAAGATCAGAAATAATCTCTCAGGTCAAAAAAGAAATAATCACGAAAGGATTGCTTACCACATCTAAAGAATACATAGATTTTTTAAAAATTGAGAATAAAAAAGTGATGGAAACATTGAATGAACAGTACAAGAAAGAATGAGAATGCATGAAACAGATTCAAATAGATATCAAGGAAATTAAAAATTCCGTTGAAAGCTGTCAAAACTGCTTGAACAAAACTGAAGACTTTCAGACCTTGAAGACAGTGGTGCAGCAAATGAAGGTAAAGGGAAAGGTTTCTTAAAAATAACAAGGAATCAGGAAATAACAATTCAGCAGCTATAAGATGACACAAAGAAAAACAATGTAAGACTAAGCGTTGTCAATGAAATAGCAAGTGTCAACACAAAATTACATAAAAAGATTATCTGATGAAGTAGTAGAAAATTTCCCAGGCACGAGAAAAGAATCTGACAAATAGACAAGTGAGGCATATAGAACTGAAATTAGCCGTAATCAAAATAAATTTATACCTAGACACATAATGATCAAGATCCCAGGAATTCAGCAAAAGAACTGAATATTAAAAGCTGTTAGAGATAAGAAATAGATCTCATATAATGGAAAGCCCATCAGAATCACAGTAGATTTCTCAACACAAACCATC